TTACCCAGACTAGCGAGCTGTGCTGGGTCCATTTTGCCCAAATCCATCATAGGCCAGCCCGGATATTCCTCTGAGGCCGTGGCTGCGGTTGCAGTAGTTGCTGATGCCAATTTGGTCTCGTTTAGGTCGAGAGATTCGGCGTTGAGATCAAAGTCAATGCCTTCTTTTGGACTTTGAAGGTGTTGCTTGGTGTCTTCGTTTAATGCTGCAATGCCGCCATCGACATCCTTCTTCTCGTTCTTTTGTGGTGATGATGACGCTGACACATGCATATTGATACTGTCTTGTGGTGGTGGCGGTTCCACCATAGCGTCTTCTTGTTCCATCTCGCGGTTGAGATTCTCTCTTTCGGCGGCTCTTGCAGCTCGTCCACCACGGCCCCTTCCTCGCCCTCTACCTCTACCACCCCTGCCACCGGGCTTGGCATTCCCCATCTCCTGAGCACAATACCAACAACAATTCAATGAATCTGAGAGATTCACAAGAATGGACATCACAAATGAATGATGAAGCATAATAAATATCCCAAAGAAGAACACGAGCTCACCGTTTTGCTTTTCTTATATTCCTCGTCGCTGTCATTCACCTCGTCATTGATGGGCTTCCTGATTTAGTCAACCATTTCACATCAGCTTGACACAGGCTTATCAAAATAAATAACCAGAACATTTGGAGGCAATATATCTAACCTTCTCTTGGAGATGCTGCGCTCATCCATGGTGACATCACCATGGCCTTGGCCTTGCGCATGGCCATAGTCAGGCACCTTGCTCACAACTTCCCTCAGAAAATCAAACACGTTATATCTTTCCACACAATGTTTTCTGCAAACAACAAAACATTTTAAGAAACATGAATCCAGTAGCATTACAAAAATCGTATGAAGAAAACAAAAAGTGAACTTTATACCAAATTTGTGGTATAAAGTTCTGTAACATCAACAACATCCTCTCGGTGTTGGACGCAGTCAATATAGGGCCTATGAGTTGGAAGCTCTTCCACTTAACAACATCATGTTAACTCTTAAACCACAATATCAACAATAATGACATCTGAAAGCTCGAGAATTTAAAATGCATTCAAGTAAACCCTTCCACGCTCTTGAGGCAGTGACAGTGTAAACATGCAAGGGGAAGTAAAAAATAAAAGTTAAGCGATCTAATGCTCACAGGTGCAGTGAGCTCACGGTCTTGGCTCCTCTTTCAAGAGTTATCTCATATGTACGATCACAAAGGTCTTGCAAGAACAATTCCAAAGACTTTGCTGTAATAATAAGACATGAAATTTAGCCAAAAGGAAATAATAACCAACAATTGCCTTCAAAACTCAAGTCAGCGATATCAAGAAGACTCACAAACTAAGACAGGCACTGCCAAAGCTATCTTGCCAACATCCTCATCAGCTTGCATAATCTTTTTAATACGAGCCTGAAAAAATTGTGCGTATCAAATAACCAAACACAATGTTAGTGGCAAAAATGAGAAGCATACGCTCTTTACAATCATCGATCCTTTTGTATAAACAAAACACATTTAGCAATTAAATGGAAAGTTCAGTTGTGTGAATAACAGTCTAATCCAGCATCCTCAAACAAAATAAATCATCATCAACACTATCTAGCTAATGAAAATGCTAAACAGAATCAAGCTAAGAGACTTAAAGCTAAAGTGGAAGTTCCACTTTCAACGAGAGACAATAATACATCAACACTATCTGAAAGTCTACCAATGGCTAAAAGTCCCCAGAAAGAAACAGATTGATACAGAACGCATTTCTAGCATTAGTCAGTTTACATGAAACATTCCATATCACTAAATCTGTAAAAACAGACACAGCAAAATTTGGGGGAAATTGTCTGCTAGGTCATAAGCTAAAGAAGACCAATTCGCCAAAATTGAGATGCTTAATCTAAAATTCGTCCTAAAACACGGTATTTAGCCGGAAAAGTGATGAAAATACGATCCAAAACCAACAGATGCGATCCAAAAACAATAGATCGAGTAGTTTCAGAGAAACCGTACTTCAATTTTCCGACATAATCAGTTCGAGACCAGAAAAAAAAAAAAGAAGAAGAAAACTTACGGCTGGGAATCGAGTATCGAGCTTCTTCCTCATGGTTTGAAATCGCAACCAAACAATCCAGAAACCGTCGTGAAGGAGAAATCGAAAAAAAAAAAAAAAGTAAACCCGACCCTTCGGATCAAAAATCGAGGGCGAATCTTATGTACAGAAACTCCGTTCTAAGATCGGAAAGTAATTTCTTCGTCTACTTCATGGATTCGACGATGCACACTATCAGATCCGGCGACGGCGGTTTCCTTGTTACAAATCTCCGAGAGATGGTAATAAAATTAAAAATTTAACTATAAAACAAGGATTTTTGGTCAAAAGGAAAAAAAAAAAAGAAAAGGTCGATGACGATATGGTTAATTAATTTAGTAAGGTTAGTTAGTAAATATATACGGCGGATCACGAATACTTCTGACTAGTCAGTCGGATTATTCATAAAGATCTAACCATACACGTGGCGATGTGGTACTGGATTGTGAATGTTTTTTCGTGACAGGCTTATTCTTTGATCCTCGTCCTTCTCTGTTTCTGTCTCTTTTTAATTGATGGATTATTTCTTGAGGATAATGCTTCCTTATATATTTATTGGCACTTATGGCTAATGATACTTTTTAAAAAGAAATATTTGTCTTTTGATTTTAGATAATAACAGAACTGATCAATATCCAAACAGTCCAAAATTTAGAAATAAACAACAAAACTACCTTTTATAAATAAAAACTGAAGTGCGTATTAATCAAAGAATATAATTTGGCCAATTTATCCAAACGAAAAAATTGAACATATATACTTTGCAACAGTGATGGTTGCAAGTTGCAACGATTTGGGTCAAAGGAGCTTACTTTAATGGGCCAAGAATAACATCTCCTCTACGAATTGTTTTGTTTTTCTACTCTCTAATCAACTTTCTTCCAATTATAGATCTTTAGAAGATATGTATGCGTAAACAATTTGTTTTTTTTTTTTTTGCTCAACTTCTACTAATCATTAACCAATGTAACTACACTTATGGCTTATCAGCCTCAATACATGCATTTAACCATGAAGGTGCTAGTGAATACAATCTATGAGCATTGTTCTCCATGGAGATAGCTTCCTTTGCAATTCGATTTGCAGCCTTGTTTCCTTCCCTTGAATAGAATGTAATGACAAAGTTTTCAAAACTTCTCAAGCCATATTGGATGTCTTGATGGATTGTTTGTAGCACCAGCCATACATTCTCTGCTTTCAACCCTTCGACCATACCTTTAGCATCCGTCTCAAATATATGTAAACAATTTGGTTATAGATAAAAAAGAATGTATGTTACGAGTTACGATTGGTGAATTTTTTATTTTTATTTTTAATTCTCACTAAGCAATTTTTAACTCCTTTATTACGTGTTGAACTTTTGATCAATATTTTATCAGTTTTATTATCTAATTTGATATAATGATATTCCACCAAAAAAAAGAAAACATACCAAATACGTCACATTGGCCCGATAATGCGAAAGGCTAATTAACATAGCCCTGCCCCTATATGCATCTCAACCGTCCAATTTTAATTGTACGGATTACACAATGATCAACGGTCACAACATATCGTCGTGAGTACAACCCCTAATATAAAGTACGGGCGATAACAACAACAAAAAAAACGAGCAAGAAGCATTGAGACTTTCATTCAATGGCTCCGACTATCAGAACCGCCGCATCTTACTCTACTCATAAAGAATATACCGTCGAATTCTTTGGCGAAGAGTTAATCGTCACCTTAACGAATGATTCCTCCGTGATCAGCCAATGGATCGACGACGTCCTCTACTACAACAGTCGTCGTTTCTCTTCTCACCCTCTCGTCGTCGGAGTCGGCGTTCAGTGGACACCGCCTGGTTATTTCTCCGATTCTCCACCGGCGTATAACGACTACGCCGATTCTTCACCGGAGAGTGATTACTACGCCGAGTCTCCACCGCCACCGGAGAGATGTCACAACTCCAGACCTCCGGTTGATACTCTCCAGTTATGCGTGGGTAATCGATGTATCATCATCCAGTTATCTCACTGTTACTGTGTCCCAGTCGTCCTTCACAGCTTCGTCGGAGATCGAGAGACGACGTTTGTTGGTGTGTATAATGGTCAAGATGCGAGAAGGTTACACGAATCTGAACACCAGTTGGTGATCTGGAATCTTCTGAATTTGAGGAAGTATGTTGTAGATTCGCAGGGAAGACACGTGAGGGGTCGGTGTTCTTTTGAAGAGATTGTTGAGGTATGTTTGGGTCGTCGTGGAGTGAGATTAGATCGAACTGTGAGTATGAGTGATTGGAGTGCTTTTAACCTTTGTGATGATCAGATCCTTCAGGCTTCGGTAGAAGCTTTTGTTTGTTGCAAGCTTGGTGTTCTTAATCATCTATGGGAAGTTTGAGAAAACGTTTTTCCAATGGGAATCTCTAATGTTAGCTTGCAAATCTTCTGAATCTTTCTTTTGCTAGGTCGTGAGAAAGAAAAGTTCTTCCACTCGTTCATTTAGTTTCTTCCATGTGTATTAACTTCCTTTTTAATCTTCTTCTTTATGGTCGTTAATTTTGATATTGTTTAGTTTTTTTTTATCATTAATCACAAGCTAAATAGATGAAGATATACTAAAGTGTATCAAACTAATGAATCCGAAAAACAAATCAACTAATTCAATCTAAATATGTCAAAATATTACGTTTTTTCGTGACAGGCTTATTCTTTGATCTTCCTTCCGTTTCTGTCGCATACTTGTATATTATTTATTGGCGCATATGGCTAATGTTAC